CCCCGCAGGCACCCAGGCTCTGGGGCATCTGAGTCAAGGGTCAGGTGAGGCCCCCACGGAGGGGCGTGCTCACCACTCGTGCCCTCCGTTGTTCACATGGTTAACTCGGTCTGGCGCTGTGGGGTGGGCTGAGGCACTCCGACTGCCTGAAGCCTGCCGCCAGCCCCCGAAAGACCCTCGGACTGCCTCTGGGTCCAGCTGCCGGCAAGTTCTTGAAGGAGGGCTCTGAGCGGCCAGAGCCCGCTGGCCAGGCAGGGAGGCAGGGCCAGGGGTGTCCTCACTGGGGCCGGCTACCCTAGCCTGCAGCTGGGGCGCCAAGGGGACCTGAAGGGTCGGCGAGACGACTTTGGGAGACACGTTCCTGACTGCATGGGGACACTCCTGGCCTCGAGACGGGCCAAGCCCTGCCCCGCCTGCCACCTTCCTGCCCTGCCAGCCACTCTCGCGCTCAGAGTCCTCCTTCAAGAGCTTGCCCGCAACTGGACCCAGGGGGAGTCCAAGGACCCTTTCCCTGGGCCCCTGGATGTGGCTGGCATTCACATCACAAGCCACTTCGCTGCCAGGCTTCAGGCACCGGCCGTGTGCCTCGGCCTCACTCAGAGCCCCAGAGGGCAGCCGGATCTGGGAGAGCAGGGCTGGGGCAGGCGGAGCGCAGGGCGGGCTTATATAGGCCAGGGGGCGGGGCCAGGTCTGCTTTAGCGAATGAGGTTCTAGGGCAGCTCTGATTGGAGGAGAGTATGCCAGTCGGTGATTGGTGGAGTTGCCATCCTGGGCCTGGCCGTGGGCCTTCTCGGGTGGGCCCTCGCTGTGCTCTCTAACCCCTGGGCTCCTGGGCTGACCTGGCGCCTGCCCCTCGGCAGCCTCCCTGGTGGCGTTCGTTCGTTTTTCTTATCAGATCCAAACATCAGAGCAGTGCCGCCTTCCGTCAGTAATCAAGGAGTGGGTCTTCGATGTTGAGGTTACCAGCTCGGCAGCTTTCTTTAGGGGTGTTTCAGACACACACACACACACACACACACTCACACACACACATGCTCCCTGTTGACCCGAGGGCCCTACATTTTGAGCGTTCAGCTCCCAGATGAGGGAAACTCAAGCATTTCTGTTCAGACGCAGGAGAGGGTGGGGCGCGACGCTCGTCCTCGGCAGCAGCGGCCTCGCCGTAATTGAAGAAATGAAGGCGTGAAGGTGTCCACGTAGGTGACCCTTACGCAGGCTGCGTCACCCTCTTTACAGAAGAGACGCACGGGTTGAGGGCCAGGCTGGGGCCCCATGGCTGGCAGGGAGCACCCCTCTTGCTGACCCACGCGGCTGGCATTGAGAACCGCTGGCCCCAGCTGGTGGCAGAGCCATGGGCCTCCTCGTGGGGTAATTGTACAAGTTCTTCCTTCCAGTTCATGAGCGACCCGATTCTGTACCAGGAGAAGCTGCTGAAGCCCGCGGTGCTGCTGCTGGAGAAGGGCGTGGACCAGGAGGACGAGGTGCTGCAGGTGCTGTCCCTGCGTGCTCTCGGCAACATGGCTCTCGGCGCCCCCAAGAAGGTGCTGCCTCCCCCCACCCCGAGCCTGGGCCCCAGCTCCCCGTGGGGGCAGCTTCTGGCCCACCAGCCGGTGGCTGATGGTTGCTGGTGGCCCCAGGTGCGGCGGTACCGGGAGCTCTTACTGGACAAGTGTCTGGGCTCCCTCGGGGAGCGGGCGAGCCCCAGCGTGACCTCTGAGGCCATGGAGGCCCTGGCCAAAATCCTGGCGGAGCTCCGGGAGGGAGACATGGGCTGCTTCTTCGAGGCCATCTCGGCGCGGTGCAGGGCCCTCTTCGACAGCGTGAGTGCAGAACGGAGCCCGCTCAGCCTGGGCCTCAGCACCAGTCCCCACCCCGCCCCCCAAGGGGTGCCAGGCCCCCCTTTCTCCATGTGCTGTCCAGCACTTGTTGGGGTCTTTTGAACGTGTGCCACCCCGTGGCTGTGGGGTGGTGTGCTGGCGAGCACATCTTATCCCCCAGAGAAAGCTGTGCTCTGGAGCCAATGCGCCCGCTGGCGGGTCATGGGACCCTGTAAAAGACATTGTCACTCTGTGACCCACAGGGCGCAGCTATCTGGGGCCGCTGCTCTTCCCATTCCTTGTGGCCCTCAGGTCCTTTGGGGCCCCTGGGATGTGCTGGGTGGGTACCTGCCAGGCAGTGGGGCAGCCGGGGCAGGGTGGGCCCCAGTGGCGAGGGGCGGTCACGGATGCCAGCGTCACGCCGTCAGGGGAGGCTCCGTCCTCATGGACGGTCGGGGTGAACGACCCAGAAGGCTTTGCAGGGCCTGGCCAGGGTCACAGTGGGGTGCGGCCTTCTGAATTCAGGACTCGTGTGTCTGTCTCGGCCACAGGAGAGCGAGCTGCTGCGTTTCAAAGCCTTCGTGCTCTTTGGGAAGCTGGCGAAGAGGGTAAAAATTTCCAAGAAGCGTTTCTTCAAGGAGGAAGTGAAGAAAGCCTGGGTCCCCCTCATGCTGCACTGCCAGGACCCTTGCCCTGAGGCAGCCCAAGTGAGACACCCCTCATCTTTGTGTCCCCCAAAAGAGTAGACAGGGGTCTGCTGGCTTGCCTTGTCTTCTTGAGAGCCCAGAGGCCACAGCCAGGTCGGCTTGGGGGGAGGGGCCCTTCTAGGTCACCCCTGGCCTATGGTGGAGTCCTGGCTCTGGGACAGGGCAGGGCTCCCGGTTTCTCCGGTCACCACCTCTGCCATCTCCCTCTCCTCTGCCAGGTTCGCTGGCTTTCCGGTCACTTCGGGGCGTTATGACTTGGCCACATCTCAGCCTGTCCTGGGTCTCTCCTCGTGCCCTCCCCCCCCCCCCCGGCGGTGGGGCAGGCCAAGTGGGGGTCGGCCCACGCCAGCCTGTGTCGCGGGCCGCCCGCCTCTCCCTCCCCTGGTGGTGGGCAAGGACTGAGAGGAGGGAGGTGCTGCCATCCCCTCCTGTGTTCTGGGGTGCAGCTGGCCCCAAACGAGGGGTGCTGGCCACTCATTTGCCATAGGTGCCTTCGAGCCCAGTTCTGGGGTCACAAGGGAAGTCCCCTCAGTCCAGTTCTGTGAGGGTAGGGGGTGTCCGGGGGGCTGGGGGTGCCCTGTGCTACACCCCTGTGCTCCGGCTGATTTGCTCTCATCCCGTCTCCTTGCCTGGCGCTGCCCGGGGGACACTGGTGACCAGGGCAGGAGCGTCTGCCTGGAGGAGTCTCCTCTCACTAGCCCTCACTGCCCCATCACCCCCAGCCCTGTTGCCTTTCAGGAACATCTATGTGGACTTTGGGGAGGGCCTGATGTCACCCAGGGTGATGGGGGGAGTTTAGTATAGGGGCCACAAAGCGGGGTGCGGGGCAGAGGAGACACAGGGAGGTGGCTCAGGGCCGCAGCAGCGTTCTGATGTGGGAATAGCTTCCCCAGCCTCTCTCGGGCCCTCCAGTCTCATTCAGTACCCCCAGAAGCCAGAGGTGGGGGTCTGGCTGCTGCATGGGGAGAAGGGGGTTCACCAGGTCCAGCTCCGGGGGCAGGTCCCCGGCGGCGCTGCTGCAGACAGGGTGGTGCTGGGTGTGCCCCCCAGAGGCTGTTTTAAGAAATGCTACACAGCCTTGAGGCAGGGGAGGAAGGGTGGTCTGGGGGCCCAACCACCAGCCTCCTGTGGTGCTTCCTGAAAGGACAGCCCCAGGGCTGCTCTCTGGCTGAGCAGAGGTCAGCCCTCTTGAAGGAATCCCCCAGACCCGCCCGACGCCACCCTGTGTCCGCAGGCCTGCGCGGCCACCATGTTTCAGTGTCTGCACTTCTGGGGCTGGAGGGCCCTGGAGGGCCCGTGGAGCCCCCGTGGCACCAGCGCAGCCGAGGACCTGACGGCTTTCCAGGCAGCCCTGTGCTCCGTGCTGGTGAGGAAGCCGGGCGGCTGGTCGGGGTCCCCGCCTGGTGGCTTGGGGACCAGGGTCACGGAGCTTCACCTCCAGACGCGGAGTCGAGGGCAGAACAAGTGGAGGGCAAGTGACCCTCCCCGAGTGTCACGTTCGCCGGCAGGCGCCAGCTCAGTTAACAGTGGCGTTTATTTATCCCGGCAGTCAAGTCACTGTCACTTAAACACAGTGGAGGAAGTATAGAAATTATTCATGCAATAGTTTACATTTTGGGGAACTGTCTTCGAAGCCTGGGGGGCACGTTGCCCTTCATTTAGACGGCCGGCCCGTTTCAAACGCACCCTCCTCTGGAGGCCAGAAGGGAGGCAACGGCCCTGAAGAGCCCCACGGATGCTGTCACTGATGCGCTGTGTGACGCTGGGATAGGCACTTGCCCTCTCTGGGCAGCCCTGGCCAACCAGCTAGGAATGGGGGCGCAGACGGGCACCTCCAGGGCCTCATCTCAGGGGCTCGGCTGTCACTCGTTTCTTGCAGACTCAGAAGAAGCCCGATGTTCTCTACGGCTTCCTGCTCCAAACAGTGACGTATGTTAAGAGCAGCTTGTCCAGGATCAGAATCGCGTCTTGCAGCCTGGCAGGTGCGGGGCGCAGGCGTTGGCAGAGGCAGGAGCTGCTGGGGGGCGGGGCCATGGCGGAACAGCACCCGCGGTCAGTCGCTCCCACCGGCCCCCTCACCCCCCAGCGCCCAGCTGCCCGAGCCCAGGCGGTCCTCGCGTCGGTCCGGCCGAGCCCCCGCCCCCACGGTCGGGGGTGACAGGCTGCCCGGGCTGTTTCAGGGGTCATTCTGAAGCACATGTCCGCGCATTATCTGAGGAGGCTGGACCTGCCGGAGCTGCGGAACTGTGCGTGCGCGGCAGCCCGGGGACCCCGGCGCGGCCTCGGGCACAGACAGAGGGCGGTCTGTGGGGGGCTCCCAGGGAGACGCTCCTTGGCGGGGGAGCCCTGTCCTCCCTGTGCTGCCTGCCCCTCGCCCGGATTCCTTCCGAGGGCCCACACAGCCTTCTGTGGGCCCAGGGCTGGGTGATGTGCGAGCATGCAGCGCCCTCTGCTGGTGACAGGAGTGAGGCGTTTGGGGGCCGGGTGGGGTCTGCAGCGCCCCCAGTCCCTGGGCCCACAGAGGCCTCCTGGCTTCCAGCAGCGTGTGGGGCGCAGGGGTCCTGATTCTCGCCTGTTTGCTCGCTCCCAGCTCTCCAGGAGCTGCAGCTGGACTCGGACCCCGGCGTCCGGAGGGCAGCCCTGGACACTCTCAAAGTCTTGGATACCTGTAGTCAGCTGTGGCTTTTGGCTTCAGCGGAGGGAGCTTCCTAGGTGGCCAGGATGCCGCCGCAGTGCTAGTGCTTTTAAGAGACTTTGTATGAAGGCCTTGTTCTAAAGGAGAGACTGCCCCTTTCCATCCTTCACTTGAAATAAACCTCCTTTGCCACACAGAGTGCAGATTCCTGACCCTCACGGCCATGCCGGCTCCTTAGAGCCAGGACAGTGGACGGAGGACTCTGGCCCACAGGTGGTGTTTGTCCCGCTTGCCCAGGGGTGTGGGTATCACACAGCCTCTTGGCCAAGACAGGAGTCTCCTTCGTCCCCTCTAGCATTTCGGTCCTCCCAGCTGACCGCAGGGTCTTCCAGCCTGGAGGCACCCAGGAGAGCTTCCGGGAGGAAGTGACAAGATACCAGGTCTGCCCCACCCTTCCCAGCCTGGTGGCCTGGAGTCATTAGAGCCCGCGTGGATGTTCCGGGGCAGCCTGGAGGCTCAAGAAGAAACAGGCAGAGGGAGAAGAAACAGGAAATCTCCCCACGCAGACTACCTGCCGGCTAGCTAGGTGAAAGCTGGGACTGCAGACCCTTCCCCTCACTGGGCCGCAGGGGGAGGGCTGCAGAGCTGGCAGGGAGCCAGCCAGCTCTGCCCGGAGCCGGCCACTGCTTCGGGCTCCCGGGGTTGGAGAAGCTGTTTCTGCCAAGCCACGGAGAGCGTTGCAGCTAACGAACGCGCTTGGCCACCACAGGCTCGCGGGAGGCCTGGGCCGCTCGTGCAAGGACAAGGGTGGGTGTCTGGTTCCCTGACGCCACACGCAGCATTTCCAGGTGGTTTATGGACCGAACCTGGAAAGCAAAAATGCGAGAGTAATTCTGATCTTTTAGGCGGGCTAACTTTTTAAAAAAAATAACAGCAGACCCCCAGAAAAAAGGGATAAATCCACCTGTGAAACATGTAAGTTCGGTATCGTAAAATGCCAGTGAAGTGCCAGATTGCAGGTAGAGGTACCTGGCATTGGAAACCCACGTCAGCAGCAGGCAAGCAGATAGAGCACCCTGCACCCCAGGAAGGCACGAGCCCTGACGCACGAGCACCCACCAAAGGCGCCCACAGGCGGTGGTGACGTGGGACACGGGCCTCATCTCGCTGGTGAGAGGCAGAACGGACTAGCGGCTGGCAAAGCCATCAGGAAAGAGCCGGGGGAGTGGAAGGCACGGCCAGCCCGGCACACCCGCTGAGGGGGCGAGGCCCGCTGGTCGTGCTCAGCGGCAGACACCGGGCGGGCCACGGAGCAGACCAGGCGCCCGGCGCACCAAACTGCCTCCCTCATGCGCGCACGGAATGGCTTACCTGGAAGTGGACGTGGAACATTCCGTAGCGTGTACTAGCAGACCCGAGCTGGCCAAGACGCTTGCCTGGTGCCTTCACCCTCGCTTCCCACACAGAACGCCCAACCCTGGCTGCCAGCCCCTGGCCACAGGGCCCAGCCCGGCCGGAAGCCTCAGCACAGGGTGGCTGGGATGGGGGCGCGGCACGTGCTGGTTGGGGCAGCGGTTTAGGCAAGGCTGATGGGGCCATGGTTTCCCTGATACAAGAACAGGTCGTGCTCTTGGGAAGAATCCCGGGGTCTCTCTGGCCCTGGCACAGCTGAGCCAGCCGTCCCCGCCAGCCAACGCCGAGGGGACATGGGCCTGCAGGGACAGGCAGCAGGCCCCTCACCACCAGGCCTGGGCTGGACATGCCCCGGCCTGTGATGGCGCAGGAGATGCCCTCAACAGAGCCCAGCTCCCTGGGGTCACCCGGCAGCCTCCGGCACCCGGAGAGGTTTCTGTTGCCCAAGTGCTGGGCCTGAGGTTGTCAGGGCAGCTGAGCAAATACACAAGGGGGTATGGTTGCGGCTCTAAGATGTGGGGGTGTCACCCTGTGTCATGACAGGGCTAGGGGTGGTGGGTAACCTAATCCTGCCTCTGCCCTGTCACTTAAAACAAAAAACCCCACACCCCCTGGCAAGATAATAACTACTTACCCAGGTCCCGGGTTTGTCACTGGCCTGCTACCTGGTAGTTCATAAAAAGCCCCCTGCTGTCCTACCAGGTGGTGGACGGCCACGGGGCCCCCAGGGACCGTCCACACCACATGTACACCTAAACCTGCCAGGCGGGCTTTGCACGCGTGAGCTTGGCCCGGGCGTCACCCTCGTGCGGAAGGGCCGGTGCCCGGCCTGACCGGCAGCTGTACAACCGGTCTCCCTCCCTGGGCGCATGGTGGGGCTCCGGGGCCTCGGCGGGGGAGACCCCTCGGACACCGCCACATTTACAGGGGCACAGGAATGCTGGCACCTGGAGGCCGCAGGGACACGTCTTACTCGAGCAACTTTATTCAGTTAATTCCTACACTGAGGATGCAGCAGAAGCGAGTTCATTGCCATCTGCGCCGAAGTGAAGCAAGTTCTCATGACGCTCGAAATTAAAAACGAGAGAGGTGAGGGAGGGCCATGGACACGCTGCAAGTAACTTGGCTGCAGTGTTCCGCTGTGAGTTTTTCCAATGCAAGGTCACTTTTCTGTTCCTTCTTGAAAGGTGTGTGGCTCTCTCCTCTGGGGGAAAGAGAGAGAAAATGATTTCAGTCAGATTTCACCACAGGTGTTACGTGGTGGTTTAAGATGAAACCGCGGAAGGCCCCCGGGTGGCCGTGAGGCCTCACCCACTCCAGGGGAGCGAGCGCACTCTGGGGGAGGCGTGGGGCTGGCTGGGAGCGCGAGGCACCAGCAGGAGGGAGCGCGGGCAGGAGGCCGAGGCGGGCACCAGGGCGGCGGGCCGGGAGCGGTGCGGTCCCGGTGCCAGGGCAGGAGCCCCGGGGGCTTTGGGGCTCAGCCGCTTTGGTGAAGGGGGTCCCCTTTCAACTAATAGGGGAGCCCCGAGGAGGGCTGGCGGAGCACACAGACAGGCGGGCATTCGAGAAGCATCTGCCATAGCACGTGGTGGTGCCCCCCAGGGCCCTGTGGTGACCCTAGTCTGGTGGTCTGGTCGGTGGCCCGGAGCACTGTGCCCCCGCCAGAAGGGGGAGCAGGGCCCTTGGGGCGGGAGCGAGCCAGCCGGCCAGAGGGGGGGGTCTGCCGGGGGCTGGAGCTGGGTCTGGCTCCCTGCTTCCTCCTCGGCCAAGTCCGGTGTCCCTGCAGCCCTGGGCCCAGGAGGGGCGCGGCCCGTCACCCTGGCCTGTGGCCTGCTGCTGGCTGGCTCTCGGAGGTGCTGGGCGTGGAAATGGATTAGCCGAAGCAAAGCCTGGTGTTTCTGGCATTAAGTGCTGTGCACAGACGGATGGTACCAGTGGGGGCAGGCACGGATGACCCCCATAACTGGAGCTCAGCAGGGAGCCTGGGGCTCTCGGGGGCTCTGTCCCGCTGTGGAGGCCGGGCGACAGGTCAGTTGTGCCTAACGGCCGTTTCCTGAGGGTGAGCAGCGGAGCCTGGCGAGGGGCTGGGCGAGGGCAGTGAGCGCACGCTCAGGGAGGCGGCCAGGAGCCCCCGAAGGCCTTCCCCGCAGCGCCACCGGCGACAACCCTCAGCTGCACCTGTGCGGCTCACACGGCACAGGGCTCGCCGCAGCGGCTGACTTTAGAGGAAGGCGGGGGTTTGGGAGCCTTTGGAACGCCACACTCACCTGACAGGCGGGGACCTACCTTTGTTTCCTCGCCGCCGGGCTCTGAGGAGGTGCCCGCCTTCCTGGGTCGCGGGACGGCCCCGCTCGCCACTCGCCAGGAGTCCGGGGCCTCCGCCCAGCGGCCACACACCTGGGGGTCCGACAGCCGGCGTCGTTTCGCAGGGCACGGAGGGCGTCCCTGGGCATCGGTCACGAACCACGTGGAGGGCTGCACCTCGATGGGGCCCGGGCACAGCGGGCCCTTCAGGCTCCACCAGGCGGGGGCCCGCTTTCGGGGCTCCGGGGAGCCAGAGCCAGGGCCTGACTCCGCAGGGGCGCCTTCCTGCTGGTACTGGACGTGCATCCTTGCTTCACCTGCACACCTCCCTGGCCTCGGAGGCGCCTCTGTGCCCTCTGGCAATTCTGCTCGATACTTCTCATGAAGTTGGTCAAACTTTTCCTTAATCTCATTGTAACGAGCCCTCCGGTCGCCAGGCTGCGGCCTCGGCAGTGAGAGCGCTTTGCTGGGCGACGCCAACATCCTGAACCGCCACAGGTGGCTGCCTTGAGGGTCAGAGGAGTGCCTCGAGTGGCCGGGGCCCCGCGCGGTGCCCGGGCTGGCCGGCGAGGGGGCCGCGTCCCTGATGGGCCGGCCTCCACCCACTCCCACTGGCCCTTCGCCCAGGTTCCCGAAAACCCGACATAACCTCTTTGCTGTTGTTTTCCCGGGGGCTGTGCCGGACTGCTGGGTCCCTAGGCTACGGGAGGACACCGGGCTCTCGGGGCCACCTCGGGGCATGTCCACTGCTGGGGAGGCCGGGGGGAGAGCCCGGCCGGGCTGGTTCCCAGGACTCCGGCAAAATTCCCGATGAAGCTTCTCGAATTTGACCTTGATCTCCCTGCAATGACTTCTTCCCTCACCCGGGATTCTTGGTCTGGAAACCACTTTTACTGGAGAAATTAACCACTTCAACGTCATGAATCTGTTCTCCTGATCCAGACGCCGCCTGTCCCCGAACTCCAGGAAAGTCCAGGAGGAGTACACCTGGGACGGCCCGGTCGGAGCGCTCCCGTCTGCGCCTGCCGGCTGGCTGGGCCGGCACGCCTGGAGAGCAGCGCTCCCTGGCCTTGGGGCTCTCCGGGGGCCGGGCGGGGCCGGCAGGTTCCCGCGGTCTCTCAGGGCTCCCCGTCCTGCCCCTGGCTCGGACGGGGGCGATGGTGTCTCCCGAGGGCGCTTCCCGGCATGCCTGCCTCCCCGGCAGACCGTCCTTTTGAGCCTGAGCCGGCACCTGCACCTCCTCCTGGAGCCCCAGTTCTGCAGGGCGAACGTCTTGGTGGAGATGACGCAGGACGGCCGCGCGGCCAGCAGGCGGCTCATGGAGTGCAGCATGCCCGCGTACAGGTCGCTGAGCGTGGCGTTGCAGACGTCGGCCGCGCAGCCCTGGCCGCTCACGAAGCCGTCGCCGCCAACCACTTCCAGGGAGGGACTGCCAGTCCGAGGCGCGACGGCCATGCCTGCTGCGCAGGGCCGGGAGGGCTGGCCCGCTCCGGGAGAGGAAGCCCGCTGCATCGGGCCCTCCCGGCGTCCTGAGGAAACACACAGGCAAGGGCTTACCGTTCACATCGCCCATGCGAAGATCATGAAAGGGAGACGGGGGCGTGTCTATAAGGGCTTTTTAAATGTAGTACAAAAAGATAAAAAACCACCACAAAAACCCTGCAAACATTTGAAATAGACCTTCCTCAGAGATTTCTCTCCAGCATCAAAATCAAGCTGCTGCCGGCATCTGACCTTCAAAAATTTCCCTTGGAGATGGGTGCTTCTCAAAGGCCAGAGACCAGAGAATGACGACACTGTTTGGCCAGGGGTGCGTGGGGGGGGGAAGGGAGACTCCTGAATGTGCCGCTTTAGACGGCTTTGACGGCTCCCTCCTGCTAAGTGTGTTACTTAATGAAAGAAGTGAAAGGAAGCCAGCAGGGGTAGGGGCGGTGCGTGCAGACACAGCGAAAGGATGAGCCTGTTTGCTGGCAAGAGCTGTGTCCAGAAAACAGTATCCAAGTAGCCCTGCACAGCAGACGCCAGGCAGCTGAGACAGAGAGCCGCTTGGAGACCTTCTTCCAAAGTCCCGGGCAGGGAGGGACGGAGGCCCGATTCTGAAGCCACCCTGGACTGCTTGACCGACGTGCCATGGGCCGGGTGAGCTGTCTCCCTCGCCGGTGGTGACAACCGGCATGGGGAGAGCGACTGCGGCGGGTGAGGGAGGTGTGGAAGGGGGCGCCCCCGCCCGAACTGGGAACTCCTGAGCATCGAGCTAAAGGCTGGCATGGATTCGACATGTGAGCTAAAATTAAGTTGTAAGTTCTTGCTGATCCCAGGAAAGCCAAAACATAAATGTGTGGGGATGTCAAGAGAGAAAACGGAGGGAAGATGGCTGACGGAGACACGCAGGACCAGAACACCCAGCACCCCCACAGCCATGGTCGAGACCGAGGGACAGAGGCCACTGGGGGAGGTGCCCCAGGGACAGAGGCCGGCATCTGAACACGCAAACACAACAGCTACAAAGCATTTTGCCAAAAATGCCGGATGTGAACTTGACCACGGGCAGTCGGATGAGTTCAGGTCAGCGCAAAACCGCCGGCCAGGACCCTCAGGAAAGCTTCCGGACGGAGCTGACTCGTCTGAGGGGCAGTGGGGTGTGGGGGGCTCCGGGGACCCTGCCTGTCAAACCACCAAGGAGGCCGCCACGCAGGGCTCCCTGGGAACGCTGCCCACCGGCCCCCCGGGGGGGTCCGCCAGCCCCAGCGCCGACACAAGAGGACGAAGCTCCGGGGGGGCCCCGAGCAGTCGGGGTGGGGCGCGAAGAAACGCAGCCTGCGACTGGGCCTGCGACAGCGGCGGAGGCGGCTTGCTGAGGCGTCAGAGGTGCGGCACGCTGAGCAGCGGGCCAGCGGGCCGGCCCAGGCCAGAAGCCCGCGGAGGAAGGCAGTTTGCTCTCGACGCCTTGATGATGCACCTCTGACCCCGGCTGCCCTAGCAGCTGACTGAACCCGCACGCAAATGGCACCCCGTGGGGGAGGGGCAGCTTTCCGGGGGCCAGCGGGGGTCCTTCTGTCACACTCACCATGGGGTGGCCCAGCCGGGGAGGCCGGGGCGGGGACCAGGGACGCGGGCTCGCCGGCGTCATCTCCGTCACCGGGGCGCTGGAATCACAGCAAAGGCTCCGTGTACAACTCATAGCTCTAGCGATTTGCTCCAAAGACGGCCTGTCCTAGGAGCGACGCCAGGACCTGGGGGGGCCGGGTCCTCACTGGGCCCCCTTTTGCTTCTGGCAAGGCTGGGCAGCTGCTGTGGTGGGAGCTGGCGGCCCAGCCGCCCGGGCCAGCACCCTGCCCTCACGGGGCTCCCGGCAGCACGACTACCCGGCAGCCGAACAGGACCCTGCACCCTGCCAGCCTGGTCTCCGGGGGGTGCAGCCAGGGGCCTCCCTGATGGTGCAGCTGAAAACCCTTCTATCCTCAGCCTCTGCGAGCTGCCCCACATCACCCAGCACCGCGAGTTCCCCAATGGGGGTGGCGAGCAGCCCCGGGGCCTTTTCTCTGGGCTGCTGCGGCCCGTGAAGTGGTGGGAGGCCCCCGACAGGCGGTCTCGGCAGCGGCCTCCGGCAGGATCTTACTAGGAAAAGGCAAACTCTGGGGCAGAATTTACCTCCTCATCCGGCAGCAGGGCATCCACCTGGGTCAAGTATTTCCTTCTCAGCTCGTCCTCCAAAGGAGGCGGAGGCTCTGCGGGCTGAGCAGAAAGGGGGTCAGCGTGGAAGCACGTCGGCGGGGCGGCCCGGCCGGGCGAACCACACCAGCCCCACTGGAAGGCGCCCTCACCTCGGGCAGCGCCTAGGGGTCCAGCCCTCTGCTGAGGCCTGCCCAAACCTGATCCGGGGACTCCAAAGTGAAAAGATACCTCCCCCAAAAAACACCCTAAGGCTCAAGCCACCAGATGCGTCAGCACAGCGGGGGTGGCGCCACGCGGCCCGCACTGCCAACACAGGGGCTCCAGCCGCCTGACTGCCTCCCACTGGGTATCGCCCTGTGCTCTGCACCTGTGGGCTGTGCCAGGGGGTGGGGCGCAGACAGGGCCCACACTCAGCTCTTTAAAGCTGGGGCGCCTGCCTCTTCCTTGCTGCCGCCCTGCAGGAGGCATCAGCGGGCAGCACCTCCCTTCCCTGGGGTACCCCCTTATCCAGGGAGACAGGTGGCTGCAGGTGGAGGGGTGAGCTCCCAGTGATAGAGACCATGGGCAGCAGGAAGTCCAGTGGCGACCTGACCGGCGGGGGTTGCCATAGCACATGGGGTGCTCCAGGGGTGGAGACAGGGTGACACTCTCCTACGGGCGCCGGCGGACCGCAGGGCACTGGAGGGTGGCAGGGAGGAGCGGCTGGGACACTCCCCACGACCTGCCTCTATAGGGAAGCCTGGCGGGGACCCACTCCCAGCGCCGGGGCCCACAGGCGAAGGGCCTCTGGGCCAGCTCGCCCTCAGACATCCCTGACAGTCAGAGTTCAGCAAAGCAGGGTCTGGCAGACGGCTGGCTGGGAATCACGGCGGGCGAAGAAGGGAAGAGCAGGATGGAAGGGGGCTTGGAGGGAGGGCAAAGTTGTGCCCGCCAGCCCACCCCACCCCACTGGCAGGACTCACCACCCAGGCTCCAGCAACCACATCCTCCTCGAACAAGGTGGTACAGTCGTCGCTGCTTCCTGGGCCTGCGAGTGGAAGGGCGCGCTCCGTCACGAGCGTCAGGAAGGGCACGTTTCTGCACCCCCAGTCCCCAGGCGCCTGCCTGCCCGTGTGCTGTCTGTGAGGGCACAGTCGGGTGACTGTCCCAGAGCCTCTGGCTGGGCACGGGCCTCGGTGACAGGGAGAAGCAGCTTTTCACCATCCCCGGCTGCCCCGGACCATGGACGCTAGAGCCTCCTGCGAGGGGGGAGCCCCGGGGCTGGCCCCAGGGCGGGCAAGGAGGCCCAGGAGAACCGCCAGCACTTCTGCAGAAGTCAGCGGCTCACAGTGATGCCCTAGAGGGCAACTCTTCAGTCTAATTAAAAACAAACTTTCTAGTAAAAATAAAAAGAAACAAAAAACCCCACAAGCCAAGACCACGACCCCAAAGAGCTCACAGGGAAATAACCAGCGTGTGCAGACATTCCACGCAGCGTGACAATGGGGAGCCCACACTTGAAGTGGAGACTGGCGGGGCTGACCCCAGCGCTGTCCTCTGGCCTGGACACTCACCCTCTCTCCTGCATGTGCCAGGTGCGGGCAGGTGGCTGCTGGCTGAGGTGCTCGTGGGGCCACCTCCCCTGCTGACCGTCTCCTCAGGGGAGTCCTTGAAAAGCAGGAGTCGACAGACAAGGGGTTTTAGTAGGACGCCCTACAGCACCCCCTCAGCTCCGGGGGAGGGCAGGTGTGGCACCTGACTGCAGCGCCTTTGGCATAAAAGGCCTCGAAGCCCCTAGACGACAGAGCCAGGCCCTCCCCCAGTCACGCCAAGGGCGGCACTTCACAAGGCACCCGGAGGCCAGTCCTGGAGCGGGACGAGCAGGGCCCCGGCAGGAGTGGAATGGCCCACTCGGCCCACGTTAAACAGGACAAACTGTCACGGGATCGCCAGGGACAATCCCTGGGGCCTCTGGTTGTATCTTAACCATGTGCTGGCCTCTTGGACTTGAGGCCCAATTTCCTTCCAAAGCTTCAGCAGCACCGAGGAGCCAGGTAACGCCTTAACTGGGCAGGAGCGGTCAGCGGTCCTGGCCAGGTTCTCACTGACAGGCAGCCAGGGCCCTTGTGCTGTCTGTGGCCTCCCACCGGCTACAGTGTCCTGACAGCCGTTACCACCCCTACAGGCTGGCATTGGTCTGGCATCAGTGCAGTTGAAGACTGAGACACCAGGCTGGCTAATGTTTCAGAAGCCCTCACCCTATGATCTTGCTCCTGCAGGGGTGCCCTGGGGCATCCTCTCTAAGGGTTAGGAGTTTGGGGCTGCTGCACCACGAAGCATTGGCTTCCTGCCTGGAGAACACTCTGCCTCACCTCAGTGGCAGGATCACCTGGGCCGGCAGGCAGGTGGACCTGGAGTAACTTGCTGCTTGGTGAACTGTGGCTGAACTTGGTTTGAGAACTGGTGGGGGCGGGGGGCAAGTCAATCCCACATCTCTGACTGGCAGCTCTGCAAGCTTGCAGCCATACAGAAGTGGGGAGCTGGGGAGGGCCACCCCATTGGCCCAGCCTGACATGTGGGGCCCAGGAGTCAGCCCCAGCCTGTGGCAGGGTAAAAACAGGGTGGGAAGGCCTTAAGCGGCATTCAGCTGCTCCCACATTTGATAAGCAACAGAAGAAATATTCCTTAAATCCTTAAGGACAGGAAAAGGGTGAGCAAACCCACAGAAGAGCTGCCCAGGTGGCGTCTGGGGGGTCCTGGCAGTCACAGCTCACACACCTTATTCACATGCCTATTTCTCCACGCAAGACACCTGACATCACATACCTGGACTTGTGCTTTGCTTTTTTCCTTCACTAGTCTTCCACCCCAAATCCTCAAGCCTGTGGAAAGAAAAATCAGGCCATGCGAGTAACTTGGAACACATTTTCTGTCCCAGTTGCGCTCAAAGGAGGCGCAAGAGATGAGTGGGGGCAGGGGACCCCGGCCCAGGCCCAAGTAGGAGCCTTCTGAGGCTGGCCCAGAGCACAGGCATCTGGCCTGTGACTTGCTTTCATTAATATTAAATAATGAGCAGTAATAAGGCTGAAAGGGAGGAACTGACCTCACCCAGTGCAAACTTCTCAGCCACTCACTGAAAAGAACCCCTAGTTTTTTACGTGGGTTCCTAACATCAACCACTAAACAGAAGACACCACGGCATTCATGACAGCAACTCTACACATGAGGGGGCCCCACGGCATTCATGAGTTACCCTACACATTGGGCGGGGGAGGGGTCGGAAGGGGGCGACCGTACCCTGCGGCGTCTCATAGGTCAGCGTGGACATCTGCACCAGCGGCGCGTCCTCGAAGGCCTGATTGTACTGCGGGGGAGGAGGGGGCGTCGGAGAGGTCCCAGATCTCAGGCGCCCCGAGCCCAGCGCCAGGAGGCCGGGGGTATACCCGGCCCCCCTGCCACCCCGCCCGTGGCCCCGCCCGCCGGTGCGGGCCGCACCTTCTCTATCAGTTGCTGCATGCGCCTCTGGAAGCGGCGCCGGCTGTCCCCGAGCTTCCGCAGTAGCAGGTCGTCGCCCCAAACTGCGGGCTCCATGGCGACTTAGACCCAGGAGACAGCGCTCGGTCCCGCTGCCAGATTCAAATAGGTCCGCCCGCCCTTCCGCCCGCCCCTCAGGCTTCCCATTGGCCGGCGTGAGAAAGCGCGCCCTGATTGGGCCTTTTAAAAACGTTGACGCATTTTTTTTCTCCCTGCCAATCCTCGCCAGGGTTTCATGCCCCGCCCCTCCCGATCCGTCACGTTCGCGGCGGTAGGCAGCGCGTCTTTATGCGCATGCGCGTGGCGCAGGCGGGGCGGAGCGCGCGTGCGCACGGCGCTGGCGGGGCGGGGCGCGCGTGGGTTCCTGTCGCTCCCCTTGCGCACCAAGGTGTGCCCCAGGTGTCCTCGCGGGTGGCTTCAAGGTTTCTAGGTGGGCTTCCTCTGCTACCTGCCTGGGGGCCAAAGGTACCCCGCAAGTCACCAACACGGAAGAAGGTGGGGAAAGCGAACATTTCGAAAGACAGACCCGAAATGCCACGGACGGCGGGGGCTTCAGCCACGCCCCCCCCCCCATCTGTGGGCGCTTGCTCGGCCCCTTTAGGGGGGTCCTTCCGAACGGCTATTTTCGATTTCATAATGTACACGTACTGAAGTGCTGATGTGCTCACCAAGTGGTGGTTAAAAGCTTCGCGTGCCACTAGGTAGTTCTCTGGGGGGGGGGTGGTCACTTCACCTCTGTTCAGCCTGCACCCCGACCCTACCGGGCCACGGACGGAATGGGGAAAAAGTGGGGGAGAGAACTTAAGGGTTCAGGCGGTGTCAGTGTGCAGGAGACATTCTGATGGACTCGAACATGAGCCAGCCAGGCCCGCCACCAGGGCCAGGCCGCCGGGGGTGGGAGTGTTGTGGGGGGCTGCACGCAGGGCATAGTCCGACACGCCTGGTGAGCGATTCTACCTCTGCACCCATGGAATCTGGAGGCGACCTGCAAGCTGCTCCCACCCACGCGCCTGGATGGAAGGACACCCCTGAAGCCACACCCGAGCTGTGTCCCCACCTGCTCCTGGGAGAACCCGCCTGCAGCAAGGGCCTTAAGGGCCTAAGCTCTCATCTGTGGCTGTTGGGTGTTCACACACTTCCTTCCGTGGGGAGCGCTGATGTTCGATGTGTTTCTTTGTTCGGTTGTTTTCAAACTTTGAACTCCGAGTGTTTAGAGACTCCATACTGAACACTGATGCACGGAAAACGACTCAAAGAGGCGAGCAGCGGCTTCCCCTCAGCCCCGCCAGCAAACTATAGGCCCAGCGTTGGGTCTCCCGGACAGACGCCATCTGCTGCAGGGGAAGGAGCAGAGTTACCCCACCCAGTAGCACCAGCTGCGTAAGGGGGTGCTGGTTTTTTTTTTTTTAAAGATTTATTTATTTATGCATACAGAGTTGGGGTATAGGCCAGAGATGCAGAGGGTGAGAGGATTCACCAGAGACAGAGCGGGGAGCAGAACAGGCAGATCGACTAAGTACACTGCTGAGGGGAGCAGTGGGCGGGACAGGAGAGGTCTGCCGCGCCATGTGGATCACCTCCGGGGCAGGCGGGAATCGAACTCATGAGGAACTGGTTTCAGCTTCTTTGTGCAGTGCTTTAACCCGCTGCGCCACCAGGGAGGGCCGGGTGCTGGTTTTTGTTCTGGGGAGTGCATCTGCGTCTGGCTGTGATAATTCACTTTCCAAACTGAATTTTTCTTATTTCCGAATAAGCCGATTTTATAGGTGAAAGGAGTGATCGCTTTGGGTGTGACGTCAAGGAGACCTTGGATATAGTTTTCCTTCTCTTAAATCTTGGACACCTTTGTCTTCTAGGATTCTCCAGAGAGCCCAGTAGTGCCCCCCTTAAAAACTACCTTTCCTAATGTTGGTCCCATTTCTAGACCACTCCTAGGTTTCAGGGATCCTCCGACCTGGCCTCACCAACTGTCCGGCAGGCTGCAGGAGGAAAATTTCTCAATCTCAAGGTTGTGCCTGTAGCTGATAGCCCAAAACCATGGACTGAGGCCAGTGGCCTCCGAGTCAAAGAGCTGGACTGGCCCTGTCCTGCCGCTGGTCTGCTCTCCCTGTTTGCCTTTCCCATCTGCAGAGGAAGGAGGAGCCCAGCAAGCTGCTCAGGTTTGATTCCATTCCCTGTAACCCCTCCACTCGCTTCGGCAACCGCAGAAGCCTAGGCCCGCAACGCAAACGCCTCCCCAGCCCACCCCAGCCCCACGCAAGAGGGAGGGGCCGCGAGCTGCTCCTTCCCCTGCGGCTTAATGGCTGGGCTTAGCCTCTGGGGCCTCACAGGTTTTCCACCTGAGGCAGAGATGGGATGCTTAGCCCTGGAGAGGGATCTCGCCAGCGGCTGCGTCTTACAGCGCCCTCTGTTGGCCCGGCCAGTAATTTCAATCCTTGAAGGGCTGTTAGGATTAAGTGCAAGGGAAATCATTCTCCTTGCAGTGATTTCATGTCTGTGGCCATAGGTGCACCTGGCTGTTGCTTCAGATGTCATTGGTGTAGATTTATTCTGCACGGAGGTGACTTGTACAGTATTCTATGCTGGAAAGTTGTGGAAACCTCACTACCTGTCTGTATTTGGAAAAACATAGCTTTTCACTGTTACGGCGTTGACATAAAGCTGCTATGTAACAGCGGGAACATCAGTCCGATCTGAATCAACCCTAAGCATCATAGCTCAGCCGTTCGCTGCCAAAGAGAGGGCTCACTCTCTTCTGGAGTTTCTGGGGCGCCACTGAAATAGATGAAGAACAAACCGACTTTCCAAAAGGTGTAAGTTAAAGCTCATAAAATGTGTTTGTTCTCTGATTTAATGAGTCATCTTTTAAAATCTCTCCTAAGTAATCAAGAATGTTGGCAAGAATTTTGCTGCAGGATTTTTAGTGATGCACTTTTGAGAAGCCAGGTTGAGTGAAGTCTGGTTGAGTGGCCAGTAATGACAAAATCAAAGAATGTATTTATTACCATCTAAAATGCAACCTTTTGGGGGGTGTTGTAAACATATGAATTATCTACCTGTATTTTAAATATAAACATTACATGTTTTAAAAAGTCGAGTATGTATATATCAAAATGTTTCCAGTGCAATCTCTGGATGATGCCTTTATGGCTTATTTTTAATACAAATAATATTTAATATTATTTTCTAATATAATAACTTATAATGCAACAATAAATACAATAATAAATATTTATAGAATAAATACTATAATACTATACAACTCATTTAATATTCAGCATATACATATTTATTATAAATAGTGTTAAAATGTTTTGTTGCATCTTCTAGAATGAATATGTGCTCTGCCATTACACGCATGCAGGACTAATGAAAAGCAGAGTAAAAGCAATCATTTTTTACCTTGGCCTTACAAAATTAGAGACCGTTTATCCAAATAAGACATAAGACCCCAATAATCTAAAACTGCAGCTGAAACAATATAGAACTGACGGCAACACCCTGCTGGTTTTGTGACAGCTGCAGCATCCAGCTGAGATTACTTCAAGAGCTCTCACCTGAACCTTCCAGAGCACCCTCAGGCCAACAGAGGGACTCACTGGGCTCCTGCTGGCCAAACTCCATGCATCATATCTGCTGCAGTCCGTCAGCCTCAATGGAGACCTGAGCGCAGATTAGTTTCCTTGGGTCCCCATTGCTGAGTTTACTTTGGTGTCCTGGGATTTATCACTAAAGAGGATTTTGTTAAAAGTAATTAGATTCCGATTTTTGTACAAGATCATTAGGCCTCTAGGTTTGCTGATGAAACTTTCAGAAAGTATCTTGGCTTATTCTCCTGCTGTCTGTTTTGTTAGTGTGTGTGCTTGTGTCGATGCACATGGAATTTTCTTTCCATTGTCCTTGTTTTGACTTGGATTGCCTTGTACCTGTTATTGCATAAGGGAGTGTTTGATAAGAAACATGGACATATAAGTTGATTGTTCTCTGCTCCAGTCCAATTCAGTCTCGAAGACAAATGATTGGAGGCCATTCGAATGGTGAACAATTTGTGAAAATGCAGTGAGTTAAACTTAGCCTTTGAAACCTACGTGCTGTCTCTGGCCGTCTGGTCAATGTGTGAAAGTAGGCCCCTTTGATCAGTCTTTGTTTCAGGGTAAACAATTGTTGGTCTAGGTTGATGCACATTTCTTGTTCATCATGCTTGAAATAATATGTATTGGTTATTGGAATGAATAACTGCATGAATCAGCTAATGCGATTAATAATTTCCTTTGACCAAAATAGTATTATTATTTGTCAAATGGCTATGAGTAAGGGAATGAATATCTTATATATAGTAGCAAGATGGTTCCTCAAATGAAATAGGTAAACAGTTTTAGCTTCAATATTTGATTCTCCTGTGGAAAAATGTTACAATAAATGAAAATTAGATACTGAAATTTTGAGAAATGTGGTTATATTTGAAAGTAAAGAGATTCTTCAAATCTTCAAAGAAATGAGGTCAATCTCTTTAAAGTGAAGGGAATTACTATTAAATGTGTTAATAAACTTGAATTATTTAAAAATTACTCTTGATGCTTCCATTTTGTGGCAGGCAGAAGAATAGTTAATGACATTGACCTGGAAATACATTATGTTAATTTTAAAAGTCATAGTGATTATATTTATAGATTTGTATAATCTTACCAAATCAGATCAGATTGGGTAAATTCATCTAAATGTCAGCCAGTGCTTCTACGAAGAGTTAGTTGAACTACTAAACAATGATTTTGAGAAACACTTGATTTAATCAACCTAATTATAGAAACTTTCCGAACATTCCAGTTAGTACTTTCATATTTATTGTGCTAGAAAGAAGTATAAATAGCTTACTAGAACAATTTTAGCTATGCATTTCAGTGAAGCAATAATTCAATTATTACAAAATCAATTAAATAGATTACCTGTGTGCAACAAAACCAATTGAGTCTCGGATCCAAGTATTATCTTATTAATAAAGTT